AAAAAAAAAAAAAAAAGAGCTCACCAAGTGACTTCATTTGTTTTCAAGGACGTCTGGAGACATTTCCATTGAGTTTTTTTCCACAAGTAAATAAACCATGTAAAGTGCCGGTAGAGTAGGCTGTTGGCAAATTGTCCCTTCAAAAAAAAAAAAAAGACCCAAGAAGGCTGTGCAATGGGTTGACATTCAAAGCAAAAAGATCACTTCTGTTAGCTTAAATGTAATCAAATGTACAAAAGACACACACACACACACATATTATATATATATATAAAATACAACCCTGACAAATATGAATAATAGTGTGAGAGAGAGATGTGTGCAGTGTGCTATATATGAATACACAGACAAATCTTCCAAATTCTTATTTTCATAGAACATGGGAGGTTGGATGAAATAAAATATGGGATCTTATTTTTCAAAAGAAAAAAAGACATCAATGCCATTCATTCTTGGAAACAGTCAAAGTAGAAATTTAATTTAGAAAATGAGGAAATCCCTCGACTTTGGTTCTACAGCAGAGCAAATCGTTAGTGTGCAGTAAGAAGTGCGAGTTCATGCAAAAAACAACTTTGAGATTTAAAAAAAAGGGGGAGTAAACATCATTAGGTTTCAGAGTAAAAACGACAGGTATCATGTGGAGCAAAGTGGTTATCAATGGAGACATATGTTTTGTCAGTCAGTGTTGCTACCTTCAGGAGTACATGATCTTTTTTTCTTTCTCGAAAGACATTATCGGCCGGTTGCTGCAACAAGTGCTATTAATACAAATGGGACTCTCTTTAAAACCACAAAGTAATCTATTCCTTTCAAGATGTAACTCGAGCGCTTGTGAACGTCCTCTCTCATGGCCGTTAAAAAAATAAATACATAAACCAAGCCAAGGTATCTTCAGGTGTATCTAAAAATTGTACATAAACCAAGCCAAGGTATCTTCAGGTGTATCTAAAAATTGTGAGAGCTTTACAAAAGCAATAACGAGGACGAGTGAGATAAGTGTAGCTGCTACTTGGCGCCAGGGGGCATGTAGTAGGGGTGAAACAGTTTCTCGTGGGCATAGCCCTGCAGCGCATTGTGCGTGTGCATCAGTAACTTGGGGAAGCGGACGGTGAAGTAGCCCACGAAGCCGTCGGGCAGCTCGCCCAGGCTGTGCTGCACTTCGGGTGGCAGCTGGTGGTAGTGAGCCTTCTGCAAAACAAAAAATAAATAATTCAAAACACAGGAAGTCAAAGAAAAAGTGTCGGGAGGAAGTGCAGGAAAGAAGCCAGCGGGCTGACCTTATTCCTCATGGCCCTCAGCAGTTCTCGCACTGAGCTGCCTTTGTACGTCCTGAAACGCCTCAGGTCTGCACAGGGGACATGGAAAAGTTGCATCATTGTCAAAAAAAAAAAATTTCTTTAACGACGCACATGGCAGACAGAACAATTAAATGCCGCTCCACTAGATGGCAGAAGATGAATTTAGACGAGATCATTGTACAGTGGTACCTCTTCATACGAAATTTTCTCATTATGAAACGCCTCAAAAGGAAAATATTGCCTTTTGTTAAGAAAGAAATTCCAAGATACGAGAGGTCAAAATACAGTATGGGCTGCTACTCGCAGTTCCGAGCTTCCTGAACGCAACATACTTATAGCTGCTCTGCCAGTGGCTATTACCGAGCATCATCCTGGCATCCCATTGGCTCAGGGGGACTTCTACCGTATGTGTTTGTGCAGCGTCTTCGTCATTCGCCCCTCGGGTTTTGAGGCGTTACGATAGTTTTATGGAAATCACCGTTAAAAAGTGTTCACCAGTCCAGCGATCGCTCACGATGCTGATGTGTGCTTTGAACATTTTCAAAGGATTGTTAAAAGCCGACAAAAGCAAATGTCCTTGGATCAGTTCTTTATAAAATGCCAGGCAAAAACCATTTCTGAGAGAGAACACAAAACTAAAGAGAGCAAAAAAAACTCAGATGAGGACGCAGTTAAGTTAAAAGACCATCATTTTTATTCTTTACTCTGTTCTTTGTTACATTATGCACAACTCTCATTTATTGTGCAATAATCTAATTATAACATGTATCTGTTCCATATTTTGATGCATTTTTATGCTTTAGAAAACATTTATGTCTGAATTTTGGGGTTGCTTGGAAAGGATTAGGGCATTGACATGGAAAACGCATCTCTACTTACATTTTCTAGTAAAGAAATTTCTTCCAGAACCAATTTATTTCATAAGTAGAGGTACCACCGTATATTATTTGAGTACACAGTGTGTCAAGCCATTTGCTGGGGATGCCATGAATGGCGAAAATTTGAAAACGGGATTTCGACTTACCTACGGATGCCACAAATTGGTTTTAAAATTGTTGTATCTTAAAAGTAGAACACACACTGGCATTCCGTTTGGACTGACTTACCAACCCAGACAAAAATAATCAACAAAGCATCAACACCATGCATCTAGCATGTACACAGTCATAAACCCATGCTACAGAAACACATTATTCAAAACTAACAAACCATCTTCACATGAGGCTGAATCATATTAACCAGCAGTGGGTTTCTCAACCTTTTATTGCCCCAGTGCATCCATTTTAAATCTTAAAAATTCTCACAGTGCACCAGCAAGTAAAAATGTAGTTTAGTAGAGAAGTCGAGCAACGTGTTTCGGTTTCTTGTGTATTGCTGTCAAGTATGTTTTGCATCATTTTCTTGATCTGCATTGAAAACCCCTTAAAAACGAAAGGGGCGATCCGACATGTGGTTCAAACTGTGAAGTAGTTTTCAACTTTGCAGCCTTGCATATGGATACGCATCTTACCCATCTGCAGCGGGGTAGAGATGTGCAGCCTCCAGTTGGTCCGGACCACCCCTCGGTGCTCACTCTCAAGGTTCATCACAATCTCACTATCGGCTGGTTCGTTCTCAATGCGGTCGCTCACATCCTGTGTAAAAACACACACACAGCAACTAAATGAAAAAAAAACAATCCATCCATTTTTTTAATTGTGCTTGTTGGGCTCAAAGGAGGGTGCAGTAGCCATACATTGTACTCAAAGAGTACAAAGAGTACTGTTACAGTGAAACTCCTATACAACGGAATCATGTTTGCAGCAAGACATTTTTCACAACAGGGGGTTTTTCACTGTAGCAAATTTGATCTCAGATGTATACACACACACACACACACACACACACACGTGTACCCTTACAGTACAGGCGCTCCCCGATTTACGAGCATTTATGTTACGAACAACGGTACATACGAACATTTTTGCGGGTACAGGTATGTCGAAAAATGTTCTCGGACAGAGATGCTGTAAGTTAGATTTTGTATTGCGCGCCTTTTTCCGAGTACTGCAGTACTTCTTTCCGCCGCTAATACCGACGTGAGGCGCTTTGAGAGGAGGAGGAGGAGGAGGAGGAAACGCCTGTCCCCATGAAGAAGTTCAAGACGGAACTCTTGGCCGAGGGGTTTTCGCTCATAGATAAAGCCATCGCACTCTTTGAGCAGCAAGACCCAAATATTGAACGTTGCACAAAGGTTGCAAATCAAATGAATGATGCCATACAGTGGTACTGCATCATTTATGATGAGAAAAAAAAGAAAACTGTGCAATCGTCATTAGATCGCTTCTTCCGGCCAGTTTCTACTACACCCTCCAAGGAAGATACTCATCAACCCTCATCTTCTTCTCCTGGACCCTCAACTTCTTCCTTCATTGATGTTACGGA